TCTCCAGTGTATAAGAGTCAATAGTCCGGGTTACCATGGAGGCTTGAAATAAGAGCCACTCAGCCGGGTATACCATGGAGGCTTGAAGCTGGGACTGGAGTAATATGATTTCATGTGATAACAACCTTTAATGTCAGTTATGTCATGTATTTTGTCAGTCAGGATACTTCAAGTTAAGGTTTTCAAAGATCAAGATCAGCTAATTCCTTTGTACTTGCGGGACAAGTTTATACTGGAACAGCCCTATACAGTACATAGTCATGAGTCAATGTTCAAGATTTAAAGTTAATGTTCATGATTTAAGGTCGACGTATAATAGTTGTTCAACCGGGTTAAATATGGAGGTCTGCAATACAGACTATTAATCTAATTCTACCTGGAAACTTGAAGTCGCACCTTATCAAGTTAAGTAAATCAGTAAATGTCATGTTCCAAATTCTGAGGCGACTATTTAGTTGTCTCGGGATAGCTTTCAGAGTTCAGGTAAAGATGATTCAGTCATGTAAAAGTCAAGTCATGGTTATCCAATTATGAGAATATTCCGGCTAGTTATGCCAAAGTCAAAGATAGCTTGTCTAATGAGACAAGACGTATCAGTCATTTCAAGTATAATCAGTGCCTCGATTCTCAAATTCTGAAAAATTTGAGAAATCGTAAGAGATGTTAATTCATGATAGACTCTTCTTGAGGTTAAGTTTGACCTCAGGGAAGGTAAGCAGTTGCAAGTATCAACATGTTGACATACAACGCGACGAAGAAGGACCAATCAACAGCAACAGACCATGCCATGATGATCAACTGAAGTTTTTCATTCAAGGATGAATGACGCAAGAAAAGAAGGATGTCATGTCTGAGTTACAGTACACAGGAGATTACAGAAAGTTAGCATTATAGTACATTGAGGTTACTAGCTTGAGATACAGATACGATCAGTTATACAGACTACGTCGACGACGCAGGTGCAATGTTCGCCAGGTGTTGTATGCAGGCGTGCCGCACTCAATTGATGAGGAGCAGGTGTGCCGCAATACAATGTGCCGCGAACGATGTCCCGCGTCATCGAGCAAACGTTCATGAAAGGTAACTACAGATATTGCTAGTTATCCTCATTTGTACACATGCGTACCTCTGGAATCTTCCGTGTGTACCAACGACTGGGGTTTTCCACAACTAACGTTCAGACCGAAGATCATCAATCAGCCAGGAGATGATGACCAGTACGCTCAATAAGTATGCTTTTAAAGTCATGTATAATCAGTGGAACACTTTATTTCAGGAAAGTGTCCATTCTCAGTCAGCAATATCTAACAATTCACGTAACTGTGAAGTGATGACTCCTCAGTCCAGATCGAATCCATTATTCAGTATTAAAGTACTGAATTCTTAAGTCATGTAACCAGTAAGTATAAGCTTTATGTTAAGCTTGTACGTCCAGTTTTAGTATTTTCGAGGACGGAAATATTTTAAGGAGGGTGGATTGTAACACCCCGAGTTTTATTAATAAAGGAAAATACTAGCTTTTAATGTTAAGTAGCCTTTGTTAATGAATAATCATGATCATGTTCAAGTTCAGGTTAATCAGCTAGTTATATTCCAAGTTCAACGTTAAGTCAATATATATATATATATATATATATATATATATATATATATATATATATCCGGTTAATTTTATTTATTAACCGAGTCATAGATAGTAATTAATCTCAGTCCGTTTTTAATAAATGGACATCAGCAGGTTGGGATTAATTATTCCAATGTCGACGTATTAATTAAGTTAATCTCAAAAGTTAAATTCAAGCTATTTATTCAGTTTCAGTTAAAGTCTGACTATTAGTCGATAAATTATTCGGTTTAATTATTTCAGTAACCGAATAAGTTCCAGATTTAATAACGATTCGTTTATTTAATTAATGAGTTCGAAATTAATTATTTCAGTCGCGATTATCCAAAATTATTCTTGAAATCACGTTTACGTTCTGAATAATTTTGGTAATTAAGTATTATGCTTAGTCAAATAATTAAGCACCTAATTGTGCTTAATTAAGATTTATCATGTGTTAATATTTAAAATGCCGTGTGCATTTTAAATGTACAATCAAGTGAAATTTTGCATCATTTTTTATTAAAGGCCGTAACCTTAGTGGGAGTTCATGAGGGAAAATTGTTTCCCTTTTAAGCTTGAGGTGTCACTTAATTGAGACACTAAGTGATGACTAAACCAACTTAGGGACGATTAAGCATCCTTAAGGCTTCAATATCTAGCAAATGGCATAAGATGATTGGACAAATAATTTCTCCACCTCTTCATCCATTTTCGGTTATATATATAGCTCATATTGAAGGAAAATTTTCTCCTTCACACTTTAGTATATATGTGCTTAGTATAGAGAGATATAGTGAGAGTTCTTTTAGTTAAGAGAGCATCACACTTAACCGCAAGTACGTACGGAGAAGCTCACGCACACGCACGGAAGCACCTAGCTCCGAGTGATCACGAGCATTTTGTGCGACCAAGCGAGCAAGTGGAGAGGTAATCGCTTGGGATCTCTCTTTTCTAAATTAGTAGTATCATGTTCAGCCTACATCATGACAATCAAGTTCAAGTATTAGCCTCAAGTTGCTCTCGACCATGCCATGTTAAATCATATCGAACATGTTCATGTTTTGTCCGAAACTCTCGAACAATTTTCATGTATTCAGTCATTCCATACCATTTTATGTTCAGTTAGTTCATGATGGTCGAGGGATTTTCATGTTTAGTCGATTAGTTGGCCAAAGGGACGTGGGTTGCGCACGTAGCGCATGCCACGGGCCGTTCATGTTTATGGTCATGGTATTCAGTGATCCTTCGAGCATTTCATGTTTATTTGTCCAGTAAATATTATTTCATGTTTATTTATGTGTTAGTTGTCGAAGAAATAGTAAATTTGGTCGAGGATCGGCTTAACGCCGTACGCGGCGCACGGTGCGCACGCCACCGGTCACCTTAGCCTGTCGAGCAAATTCATGATTTTGAGTATTTTCAGCGGATTTGATCATGTCATGTTATTTTATGTGGTTTCACGTTGAAACGGTTGAGATAAATCGCCGGACGGCCGGCAAGGGCCGGTCGTGGCCGCGCTGCCCGCACACAGCGGCAGCAGCGCGCCGGCAGTCAGTGATGACGGACCGTGTTTTTATCTATACTTCGGGTTGTGAACAAACGCGCACTCAGGGCCTTCATTTATCTACGATAGGTGTATCTAACAGACGCACTCAGGGTCTTCTCCTAGATACCGTGACTTCAAGACGCTCTAATGGCCTTCTCTCCGACACTCTATGTAAACACGCACTAACGGCATTGTTTAAACACATGTAAGAACAACAAGTTCCCCCTCACAATTGGCTCACCAATTCAAGACTCAACATTCAACTCTTCATAAATAATGATGAGGTACATGGGGTATTTATAGGTGCATAAAATAA